TCTAAAGAGGTTAGTCCCAGAAAGCTAATATCCCAAGCATTGCCTTCAGTTGGCCCTGTGTTTCGGATATCCAACTTTCAGACAGTCAATCTTCAGTAAGACTTGTATCCCAGAAGCATTGCCTTCAGTTGGCCCTGTGTTTCGGATATCCATTTTGAAGAAGTTCAGAAATTGCTTATTCAACTAAAGTCATACTTCAATTTCTGTGGGGGCAAGAAGCACGCAGTGCAGCTATGTTCGGCAGAGTTGAAGAAAAGAAACAGTAAAGCATTCAAAAATAAAGCAACTGAAGAAAAAAAATTGAGCTACAAGTTCAATAATTCAGTATCGGCAGCCGCCCACAAGCGGAAAATAACAGCTGCCGAAATACGTACATAAGCAAAAAAAATAAAACTGCTGTACGACAAGGCAAGCTGAAGCAAAAAACAAGGCAAAAAACTCAGAAAGCGGCAAGTCTAAAGTTAAGCACATGATGAACCGCAAGATTCTGAAGACGACTGCCCGAGTTCCTATGCTTCAGCCGGGGGATCAGACTGATCAGCGTTGAGTCCCATGGTGGCCTCAGCCCCAGCAGCAGAAGAGGCGGGCTTTGCACTTTGCCGAGCCTCCCTTTCCCTCTGCTCAGCTTCCAACTCCAGTCTTTCAGCTTCCTCTTCGGCTTCCTCAGCCTTAAGAATTTCAGCTTCAGCTGGAGTTGCAAACTTCATGTGAGGGTCTTCGGGATTCTGGACCCACTCAGCACATTTAGACCAGTCCAGCTTCGGCTCAGCATGAAGGCAGACTCTTCGGCATACTCGGAGTCCGTTTCTGAAACCCATCTCATATTCCTCTTGGGTATAGACACGGACTTTGAGTAAAGCCTCAGCATCAGCCAGCTTCTTCTGGGTCTCCTCCAAGTCTTCCTTGGATTTCTTCAGCTCATCAGCGACTTGGGAGGAGGAGCCTTTCAGCTCATTCAGCTCTTGCTGAATTTGGGAAGCCTTTGTCTGAGCCTGGGCCACTTCAACTTTCTGGATCAGCAGTTGATCCTCAGCCTTTTGGAACTTAGCTCTTTGAGCTCCAGCAGCAGCAGCAGCCTCTGAGAGTTGGACGTCTTTGGCCAGGAGCAACTCTTCAGCAGCCATTCGGCTGGCTTCAAGAGCCTCTAGACGCTGCTGTACTTCAGCTTGTGCAGCAGTTCCTTCTTGAATTCGGCTCTCAATAGCAGCCTTGAATTTGGAGACGTCCACTCCCATATGCTCCTGGAGGAATTTTTCCCCTTCCATCAGTGGGGGAAAAACCTCCATCTCCATAGCATCGCAGAAGGTTTTCAGAGCTTCGGCAGCTTTTTTACCGTACTCCTCAACCTCCTGCTGCTTCTCTTCAGCTGCTGCTTGCTTCAGCTTAGCAAGCTTAACTTCCTCTTCAGCCACCTTCCTTTCGTGCACAGCAGCGTCTACCCTATCTTGTAGGGTATCAATCAGCTCTACAGTGAGAGTCTGATTGTGCACGAACTGAAAACAGGAAGACAAAAAAAAAAATAAGTAATAAGAAAAAAATAGAGCTGAATTTCGGAGGAAATGAAGGAAAATTACCTGCATCATCAGCAGTTGGTTAGACCTGGCTGGGTCAGGAACTGATCTACTGGATTCGCCCATCCCAGCAGTGGCCTTCAGCGACCAGATCCTTGCCCTGTCTACTTCGGACATGCCAGCAAAACTGCCGAAGTAGGCTTCAGCTCCTTCTCGGTTTTGACCCCATATGAGGTCCCAGATGTGATCTGGGATTGGAATTCGGGGGGCCGAGAAACCCATTTCTCCAGAATGCAGAGTCTGGAAAGAAGGGAAGGACGACGATGGAGCTTGATTAGCTTTGGTTGTCTCAGCATCATCCTTCTCAGAGGAGTCAAGTACTATGACCTCCTCTTCTTCAGGGGTGAGGACGAAAGCCTCAACCTCTCTGGCGATATCTGCCGTGAAGCCCTCAGCACTGGACATCACGGCATCTTTATTTTCGTGCTCAGCAGCACTCTTCTTGATTTCTTCTTGGACCCCTCCCTTAGGTTCGGGAGTTCTCTGATCCACCTCCATCTCAGGAGGTGGCGGAGGGGTCTTTTGAGGAGATTGGGGTGTTGGCTGGGGAACCCTCGGCGATCCATTGCCTTCCTCAGGTTCCCTTATTGCGACGCCGATGGTCATCGGCCTCTGCTGAAAATCATGAGGGCCGATGATGGCCATCCTTCGGCGCCTTTTCAGAAGGGGCTGCTCGTCCATATCTGAGTCTGAAGACTCTTGTATTTGATCTTCGGGACGAACAGGAGCTTTGCCTTCTCTGTGTCTGTTACTCTCTTCAGACTGTAACAGACAGGGGGGAAGAAGAGTGTGAGTAAAAAAAAAAAAAAAAAAAAAAAAAAAAAAAAAGAAAAGAAGAAATGAAAAGAAAAAAAAAAAAAAAAAAAAAAAAAAAAAAAAAAAAAAAAGTTGTCTGAAAACTCACCGAGGTTTTCAGCAAAGCCTCGTCTTCTTCAGCTGCTCTAGCTGCAGCTTCGGCTTCAGCAGCTCTGGAGGACCCTTCTCCTCCTTCACAAGCCTCAAGTACCCGTGCAACCTCTTCGGCTGTGCGGGCAGCTTCAGCTTCTTCGTTCAGCAGCTGAAACCAAGGGTCTCTCTTCTTCCACCAAGGCTTCTGCCTCTGATACAGAGCAACAGCCTCAATTTGGAAGTGGGAAGAGTCCAGATGAACTTCCCTATGCCTCGGCTCAGTGATAGACGGGGCCCGTTCAGTTACAACTCGCTCTCGGTTAACACCAAGACGAGCGTAGTTAATACCAACGTTGGTCTCGTCCCGCTCTGAAAAAAGGGAAAGGGAAAAAGTTTAGCTCAGATATGTTGGCACAGCATAAAAAAGCAAAGCGAGAGAAGAAAAAGAGGTAGTTAAAAGCCTCGGCCCCAGCCGAAGAAGCTTACCATCCTTAAACTTTCGGCTGAGGCCAACAGCTGCTAGCATATTCTCTTGGAAAACGTAATGCGTATCGGGGAGCCAAGTCTCCGGGATATGCTGCATTCGACCACTCCCCCCCGGGTTCGGCAGCTTGCCGAAGATATGTTGCTGATCCAGGTTCGGATCCGCCCCGTTATCTGCGGGGGGACCTAGACTTCCCATTTCGGGATCAGGCTCAGCTAAGTACCGGGGAGCGCTGAAGACGCAAGGGTGGCCCGGATCTATGGGTGCCCTAACCCAAATCCATTGACCTCTCCAGTCCTTGTCTGAAGAGTCATTTGGCCACATGGTCAAGTATTGGGGCCGGGACTCAATCCGATACCACCCAGAACCATGGCTTCCGTGCCCACTCTGAATATTTGGCACTAGCCGATGGAGCTTTCTGAAGCAGTGCAGGTTCGGCACGTATTTGAAGAACTTGCAGACCCATAAGTATGTCATCACCCTTCGGATGCTGGTGGGGGTTAGCTGACATAGGGAAATGTTGTAATGGATCAGCAAGTCTCGGACGAAAACGTCCAAAGGGAACCTCAGCCCATACTGAAGCTGTCTCGTGTACACCCCCACATACCCCGGGGGTGGACGATGGATTCTATCGGATGCTGAGGGCATTCGGCACCAATATCCATCAGCTTCAAAAATGCCGTAGTGCAACTCAATTTGCTCAGCAAATCGATATTGATCGGCGTTCTCTACCCACCATGAGTAGGGGCGGTTCTTTATCATGGCCGAAGCGACTTCGGCATTCTCCCACTCTGAAAACCCAGGGAGGATATCCCAAAGGACAGCGGGAATTTCATCGTCCAGTCCAGAAGCACTCGGCTCATCCGTTCTTTGAGGAGGAGCCGAGGAAAGGGGAGTCGCCCTAATCCCTTCAGCAGGGTCAGACTCCGGCCTTTGACCATTCCAGGTCCCAATCCTATTCCTAGGATCGGGAATCGGCCTTGCTCTTCTTGGAGCACGGGCTCTACCTCTAACTCCTCTTGCCATGGATTATTTCGAAGAGAAAAGTCGAAAGAAAAGGGGAAGGAGTTCGAATTCGAAGAAAAATAAACTGAAATCAAAGGAATTTACCTTAATCTGAAGCGAAAGTTGCCGATTTACGAGTTCGTAGTGGCAAGTCTCAGTTTCTAAGCTCAATGCTCGGGGGAATTTGCGAAGTTTTGATGCGGGTTCTTGGTTTCTCTCTCGAAGAATTCTGGGTTTGTGTTGGTGAATAAGTGAGGAGAATGACGCGCCTCTGTTTATATCTCCAGGTACGGGATACGAAGAGTCTGTGCTTTAATTTCTCTTAAGTACCCACTAAGTAACCATTAAACACATGTCTTGTGATTAAACCGCCCATTATCCGTCCAACTTCCGCAAATCATTAACCGTTGTTATCTCATTAATTACGGTTTAAATTCAAATTTTTGGATCAATTAAATCATTTACTTCCCTCCTTTTCTGAGTTAAATCAAACCCGACCCGTCATTCTTCCAAATCGGGTCTGGGGGGCAAGTTGTTTGGGTCCAATTTAGTCAAAATTGGGCCTGAGCACTAAATGATCCAATTAAAAGCCCAAGGTCAAGGTTCAACTCTCCAATTGCTCAAAAGTCAAAAGTCAGCCCACAAAGTAAGCCAATTGGGCTAAAGCCCAACCTCTCCAAGTATGACAAGGTATAAAAGCCATCATATTAACACATTCAAAAGGAGATCAGATACATTATCACATACACTGATTATTCCAATTCATATGCTCATTCTTGCATTGAGAAATACTCCACAAAAGCCTCAAGCTACAAACTCTCTTGCATAGTGTCTTCCTTTTTACACATTGTACTGACTTTAGCATCGGAGGGGCCTTCCTCGGAAACACCCCCGAGGCTAGTTTACGTGTGTTCACTGTGCAGGAAACCTTCGGCCCAACACAGCTTGGATCGAATCCAGTCTTCTCCATTTCAGTGGACCTTCGGCAAGGTCCCATTGTTTTCAACCGAAACACTTCTGATTCAATATTGTATTGTATTCGTATCGCCAGGATGAGTGGGTTCGTAGAGATTGAACTCAAAGTACGGGACTATGAATTGGATCAATATGGTGTTGTTAACAATGCGGTCTATTCTAGTTATTGTCAACTTGGTAAGTACTATGTAACAAAACATGCATCTACTCTATTTATACGGTCTAGCAACAAAACAGTTAAGTGATGACGTGATGCATTATTAAAATGTTGGTCAGAGAGTATACCAAAATTTCAATAATATAATTGGATTATAATTGATATATAGAAGTACAAATATCATTGGCATGCTTGTGTATAAGTGTGAATTTTACATTTAGCTTTGTATGTACATCATTTTGTTTTACAAAATGCAACATTTGGTTTTAAAATTAAAATACATCATTTGGTTTCATAGGTATTACATCTATCCTTAAATGTTCGTTCAACCTTAAATTTTTATTTGCCCTTTTGAATTTTTTAAAATTTTTGATTTTTTTAAAAAATAATGTTCCTAATTAATTTACAAAATTCAGTGTAAGAGATATGATATATCGGAAAATGATATATCTCTAACATTCAGCTTTTATTATTAATGAAATTTAAAAATGATTCATAAATTAATAAGAAACAAAATTAATAAGAAAAAGAACATTAATAATTAATTTTGACATAAAAAATAAACAAACAATCAGCCTATAAAAATTGATATAATGGTAGTCATTTTGAGGATAGCTACTGTAGAATTTTCAGTTAATATTCAGCAAAAATGCAAATACCGCATTATATACATTTTTTTTTTGTACATTATTGATATATACTGAGTATTGATTTTAATTTTTTTGAAACATTTACTGTTATATATATATATATATATATATATATATATATATATATATATATATATATATATATATATATATATATATATATATATAGCACATCATGAGGTTTTAGAAAGACTTGGTCTGGCTGGTGATACAGTTGAAAGCAGTGTTGGTACAATAGCACTGTCAAAACTTTCACTCAATTTCCTGGCACCTCTCAAGGTAGGTAGCGATGGATGAGTGCGTGTATATTTTGTTCTTTATTATTACCAATTGATTTTAATATGAAACTTTATTTAAGCTAATAAGGTTATGTTTTATTCACCTGATTTTCACTTATCTAAATGTAACTGAATTTGTTAGACATTATTAAAACCTATTTTTGTTGTTTTGTATTTAGATAACACCCGTTATTGTTAAGATACATATGTAAATATATTTCTGTTATGTTAAGTAAATATTCATGTATAGCTTTTCCTAATTTGTAGCCTTAGGTTATGCCTTGTATTCGGTTATATATTGTACACTGTCAATGAGAATCCCTTAGAGGAAAATATTCCATAAACTCTTTCAAAGGGATCAAACCAATCCGCCACTCTATTGCATTCACAAATCACAATAAATATGCACCACACGATAGAAATGTCTTAATGATTGTGCTCAGGGGCGGAGCTAGAAGGGGACGAGTGGGGACACTTGTCCCCCCATTTTCAAAAAAAAAAATTAAAAAAAAAAAAAATTAAAAAAAAAAAAAAAAAAAAAAAAATGCAATTACTTTCCAGCCAGCCAAAGCCAAACCCTAAGTTTTTCAATTTTCAATTTCTCTCTCTTCGTCTTCGATTCGCCCAATCGCCCTCGCTAGTCGCCTTCGTCCGTTCGCCACTTCGCCGGCAGTCTGTTCGTCCACCGTTCGCAGCAGTGACGAGGTTCAACAGCCGCCCTTGAGCCTTCGTCCTTCCTCCTTCGTGACTTCGTGTGTTCGTGAAATCGTGACTTCGTCTGTTCGCCTACTCGCCTAGCCGTCTGTTCGTCCACCGTTCGCCGGCAGTTCCCCCCTGGTGACGAGGTTCAACAGCCGCCCTTCAGCCCTTGAGCCTTCGTCCTTCGTGAATCGTGACAGCCGTGAGCCCGTGACTTCGTGAGTTCGTCTGTTCGTGTCTTCGTGAGTTCGTGACAGCGTGACAGCGTGACTTCGAGTCTTCGATCGACACTTCGTCTGTTCGTCATATGCATTTCAATGGAGGTATGAATCAATGAATGTTTAATTCTGAATTTCATATTTTTATTACTTGTTTAAATGTTTAATTGTTTATATTTTTATTGTGAATTTGTCATTTGTGGCCTTGTGGGTATTGATTATTGAATAATTTGAATTGATAAATGATTATTGATTTATATTTGTTTGAATGTTTGATTGTTTCCCCTGTTAGAGTTTTTGGTTGTTTTTGTGAAATGTGAATTTAAATTTATTAATTATTGTAAATTATTGAAATGTGTAGTTGAATTAGAAATTTAAAATCTTAGCCTCTTAGGTTTTGTTATTATGTAATGATGTGGATTGTGGTCTTGTGGAAATTGATATATAATTTTCGATTTAATTAGTGTGGTCTTGTGGAAATTGATATATAATTTTCGATTTAATTAGGAAATGTCAAACGATTCACCAAATTCAAACAAATCAAAGGCAACTAAACAACCCGATCTTCGACAATTCTTGTTTAAAAGAACGAAACTCAATGAAAATGAGTCCAATGAAAATGAGTCCAATAACTCACCTTCATTTAGCTCCCCTCAAAGTCAAGAAAATAGTATGGAAATGGGTGGTTCAAGTAATAGTAATGTACCATTAGAGGAAGATTTGGTGTATGATGTTGAACTTCTTCCTCATGATCCGGGAAAAAGAATAAACATTATGGATTACCCCGCAAATGAACGAAATGCTGTTAGGAGGGGTTATATTCTTAAAAAACCTTGCCAACCAAAAACTCATGACTTCCCTACAAGACAAGTGTCTGGTTTGCGTCGCTTTAGTGTTCATTGGTTCAACAAATGGGATTGGCTTGAATATAGTATTGAAAAAGATGCTGCATTTTGTTTTGTATGTTACTTGTTCAAGAATGAAGTTGGTATTAAACCGGGGGGTGATGCATTTGTTGATGGAGGGTTTAGGGCATGGAATAAACCGGAAAGATTTGAGAAGCATGTTGGTGGAATTAAAAGTGCTCATAATCTTGCTTATGAGAAATATGTGAATTTAAGAGATGAAAAAAAGAAATCAATCTTGAATGTGATTGACAATGCAAGTGATGTGATTAAAAGTGAATATTTTATCCGCTTGAAAGCATCTTTATCTTGTTTAAGATTTCTTTTGGGGCAAGGTTTGGCATTTCGTGGACATGATGAAAGTGGGGAGTCATATAATAGGGGTAATTTCCTTGAGCTTTTGAAGTGGTTAGGAGAAAAGGTTGAGGAAGTAAGGATACATACTCTTGAAAATGCACCTAAAAATTGTCAAATGACTTCCCCTCCTATTCAAAAGGACATTATTAACTGTTGTGCCAAAGAAACAACTAGGTGCATAATAGAAGAAGTTGGTGATGATTACTTTGCTATATTGGCCGATGAGTCAAGTGATGTGTCCCAAAAAGAACAACTAGCTCTTGTTTTGCGTTTTGTTGATAGAGATAGTGGAAAGGTAATGGAGCGATTTTTAGGCATTGTTCATGTTGCTAATACTACCGCTTTAACTCTTAAAGATGCAATCATGTCTTTACTTGTTGAACATTCATTGAGCCCATCTATGATAAGAGGGCAAGGGTATGATGGAGCTAGCAACATGAAGGGTGAAATAAATGGCCTTAAGACTTTGATTATGAATGATACTCCAAGTGCCTACTATATACATTGTTTTGCTCATCAACTTCAACTAACATTAGTTGCCGTTGCTAAAAAGAATGATAGTTGTGGTTGGCTTTTCGAGATACTTGGAAATTTGTTGAATGTGGTTGGAGTTTCTTGCAAGAGAAGAGAAATGATTCGTCAAGATCAAGCTCAAGAAGTTGCTCGAGCCTTGGATGTTGGGGATATTGTGAGTGGATCGGGTTTAAATCAAGAACTTGGTTTGAGTAGGCCCGGGGATACTCGTTGGAGTTCTCATTACAAGTCACTTTTAAATGCCATCCTCTTATTTCCTACAATTATTAAGGTGCTTGTACAAATTGGGAAGCATGGTGCATCGGAAGATAAGTTCAAAGCTCAAATTGTTTTAGGACAATTAGAGTCATTTGACTTTATTTTTGTTGCTCACTTGATGTTGACTATTTTTGGATACACTAATGATTTGTGTGTTGCTTTGCAAAGAAAGGAGCAAGATATTGTAAATGCCATGGAACTTGTCACTTATACAAAAACGGTGTTGCAAAAAATGAGGGAGCGAGGATGGGATACTCTCTTAAACAAGGTAACTTCATTTTGCACTAAACATGGTGTTGTTATTCCCACTATGGATTCTCTTTATGTTCCTCATGGAAGATCAAGACGTTTTGTTGAAGAAGCAACAAATGAACATCATTTTCGGGTTGGAATTTTCTTAAGACTAATTGATTTGCATCTTCAAGAACTTGATGAACGATTTAATGAGAGGAATATGGAGTTACTATTATGTATGGCTTGTTTAAGTCCTAAAGATAACTTCTCATCCTTTGATAAAGATAAGGTACTTAAACTTGCCTCTTTTTATCCCGAAGAATTTTCAAGCTTTGATTTGATGGCTCTTGAATATCAACTTGATGTATTCATGGAGAATATGCTAAATGATGAAAGATTTCAAGGTTTAAATGACCTTAATTCTCTTTCTATGATGCTTGTTAAAACCAATAAGCATAAGACTTTTCCTCTTATTCATTTGCTTATCAAGTTGATGTTGATTCTTCCCGTTGCCACGGCAAGTGTTGAAAGAGTGTTTTCTGCAATGACATGTGTCAAAAACAAGTTGCGAAATAGCATGGGTGATCAACTTATGAATGATTGTTTGGTCACTTTTATTGAGAAGGATGTCTTCTTACGAGTTTCCGACGAAAAGATTATTGATCGATTTCAAAGTATGAAGACTCGAAGAATGAACTTGTAATTTTAATGTAATGTTTATGTAATTTTTTTCATCATTTTGAATTGTATGACTAAGTATATATTTGTATTTTGAAATTTTAATATTAAGTATTAACCAATTTGTGTGTGAGTTTTTTTTTTGTTTTTTTTTTTGTTAAGCTTTTCGTAAGTTAAGCATTTTGTCCCCCCAAGTTGAAAATCCTGGCTCCGCCACTGATTGTGCTTGGCCTAATGAAAATTTATGGATGAACAAAGTAACTAATTTAGGCAATGTATATATTTGTTTATTTCGTGTAATCTAGGGTGGAGACAAGTTTGTTCTGAAGGTAACGCTGGCGAAATACTCGGCTGCTCGAGTATTCTTTGAACATTTTATCTACAAGTTGCCGAATCATGAGGGTTGATACTCACCTTTTTTTTTAAAAAAAATAATAAAATAAAATTAGTACACTATAGTCCGTGTTTCGTGAGACTTTTTCATAGTAGTCATTCTTAAAATTGACTATCATTATACGATTATACTTAATTTTCATTAACCGATTTTTTTATTAATTTTTTGTTGGTCATTCTTTTTTAAAAAAATTCATTTCTTTCGGAAATAAATTATGAAAATAAAAAAAAAAAATTATTTTCGAAATTTCTGAAAATTAATCTCCAAATTTTTTTTGAATTTTAAAGAAGAAAAATCATTTTAATAAGTTTGAGTAACAAAAAAATTAATAAAACAACTTCCACAATCTTGTTATATTGTTGTTCTAGCTTGCTAATTAATTAACAACTTCCACAATCTTGGTATAACAGCCGATCCTTGAAGCGAATTCAGTTGGTGTTTTACTGGACAAAAATTATCGTCCTGTTCGTTTTCCTACAGAAGTGAGATCTAAGTTAGAAGAGTTTATGATGCATCAAGAAGGCTCGACGCTTATTCATCATACTATGCCTACTGCTGCCGCGCCATTGAATGGGTTGATGGCCATTAATGATTTCAAATCTATGTGACGCAACTAGCCAACTACGTCGTCATCTAGTGCATGAACAGGAGCAATATTGATCACATATGATGGACAATTTGTGTGTTCTGGAAGGGTTTTCAATGTTTTTACTAATTGCGTTTATATTATAATTTGGAAAATGAATCGATCATATTGTTTTATTAATAAAATAAATTGTTTATATAATTGTGAATTGTGGTGGAGTAGTCCTAAAATTGATGGGGTACAAATATTGTTGATAGGTAGCTCAGTCTTAAACAAGCGAGAGTTGTGGTTGTTTCCATCTATCTAAATTACATGGTTTAACTAATTATAACGACAAGCAAATACTAAGCAAGGAATCGATTCAAATAATAAGTATATATACTAAACTAATTAATAAAACAACACAATTAATCTAAGTAATAGAGGGATTTGATAATAAAAACATCCGAGATCAAGCATCACCACGAATATAGCCAATGCATAGTCATTCTACCCTTAACGTATAATGCAATCAACAACTGGAAAACTAATCCCTAGAAGATATTAAAGGTCTCTCTAGAGTTATCAATGACTTCCTTAATCACAATCAAGCCTACTCTCGTGGAATCATGCAAATTAGAGACAATAAGCACAAAATCAGCTTCATAATCATTCATTTAACTACTCTCATGATAAACGTAAAACCCTTAATTGATTTATTCAAACCTGTTAAAACCCAACCCTCGTTGCAATAAAATCAATGGATTGATATAAAAATATTAATTATCTCTAATCTACTATTGGCATAGCACAATTAATTAAGCATGTCAATTACAATTATCATTAAAGAATTTAAAGAAATAATTCATGTATCAAATCATATTTGGGTTATGCTACATCTTAGGATAAGGAAACTACTTACTCATGATAATAAAAAGAATAACAAGAATTAAAGAAAGCATACTTAATAATTAAAGAAATCAATATGAGTAAGAAAGTATTGAATCTTAATTTGTAATGGAAATAAATTCTAGAGAGAAAACTAGGTCTAAGAGTTCATAAAATTAAACGAATTTAAGGAACTAAAGAAGTATTTATGCTAAAATAGAAAAACTCAACAAAAAATAGAACTAGTCTACACCGCCTAAAATGTACATCCAAGCATGGACATGTCAAAATAAGGCACAGACATGCCAGATCGCAAGCGTCTAGATCTACTCTGCTAGGGCACTGATGTGCCTATATAGTAGCTCCATGACATCCTTCAAAATAGCACAGACGTGTCTTCTCAAAGGCACGGACGTGCATCTTCGCATTCGCTTACACACAGAAGTGCTTCTCATATATAGGGCATAGACATGTCTCTTCAAAATATGAGGTAACTTTTATAAACTTATTCATCAATGAGGCAATTGGCACAGATGTGCCTGCACAACATCGCGTTTCACTCGCATCAACTCGTCCATGCCCACATATGGCATGGACACTCTACTCGGGCACATACGTGCCTCCATTGAGCACTAATGTGCCTGTACATTTTTCTTCTTTTCATGGCTTCTTGACTTCCATTATTGATTAAGCACATCCCTGCATGCCTTATCCAACATGGACGTGCTTGACTTAAAGATTTCTCCAAATGATCTTACTTCAATCATTGATCTTCACGAGCCTCGGTGTTGATACACAACATAATGAAATATCCAAATTAGTCCCGTTAATTCTGAAATACATCAAAAAGTTGAAGCTATCCATAAATGCACAAATCATCGCAACTAAACCAAATCCAGCCAAATAGACCAAAGTCAACTAAACTAGACTAAAAAACTAACAAAAATGACTATAAAAATACGCATAATGCACGATATATTATGTTGACTCGAATGAACAATACAAGAAGGGAGGGGGGTGAATTGTATTATGGAGGAACTAGGGTAATTTTTGCGGAATTCTTAAAGAAACTTAAACAAAAACTTTAAAGTGCAAGAGAGATTTTACGTGGAAAACTTCTTGGCCCTAATCAAGAAGAAAAACCACGACCACAAGGGATTTTAATCTCAACTCTTAATAATAATAGGGCAAACAACCTATTATAAATTAAGACTCTAAACTCAAGTTCCTCAACGAACTTAAGTTCCCCCTCAACTGATCCCTCAATCAGGTAAGCTCTCGAATCTCTCTCTTTCTCCTTGCTTCACTCAAAGCAATTTCACACTCTAGAGTTTACCCAAACTCTACCCCAATACAACTCAAGATAAAACTTCTAAAGATGCTAAGTACAAAGACACTCAAGGACTTAAGTGGATTTTTGACTCTTTTAGAAAAGCTAAGAATTGTAATGCTCAAGTGTACTTTTCAAAAAAGAAAACTAATCCTATTTATACAGGAGGAAAGCAGTTGAAACTTTTACGTTTGCCTTAACTCCCACTACACCACAACTTCCATTAATTTAGGAAGTGTAGTTCGTGGATGCTTGGGCAGCAAGCTGAAGCATATACAAGGAAGTGGTTTACTGCTCCCTTAATTTTCTCAACCTCCTTGACCAAGTAAAAGATCCGTTTTCAAAAGAGTTTTTACCAAGTCAAATTTTCCAAAATAATAGGATAAAATCAAAACAGAATATCCTTTGATAAATAAGATATTTTTGACTAAAAAGATAATTTTCCGAAATAATATTAAAACCAGTTAAAGTATGGAAAATAAAATCTTTTATAAAATTAAATCCACTTAAATCCTATTAATTAACAATGTACTTAGCAAAAATACAAGAAGCCTAAAATAAACAATAAATATATACACTAGACTTCTTGACATACTGTGAAGCTTCGACTCTGAAGCTTCAGTTCCTCACTCAAGGAACTTGGCTTCTGATTGTCTTCTATACTTATCCACAACTCTTCCTTAGACCTTGTTCCATGCTCCATTTTGACTCTAGAACCTCGTTGCATATAAGAACCTGTCAAGTACATCAAAGCTAATAGACAAAAATTAAAGCTCCTATGGGTTTGCTTAGGTTCCTTGAGTCATCATCAAAACTTAAGATCAACAATATTCCCCCTTTTTGATGAATGACAAACCTAAGAAAACTCACAAAATAAAATTAAAAGACAATCAGAAAAAGAGAAAAAAAAAACTTTAAAACGAAAATGAACTAGCAACAATTAAACCAGGAACTGAATGAAAGATATAATTATACCTTCTATTTTAAATGGATGGAGAGCTTGTCAACAAAATTAATGCACACAAAGATACATATATAAACACAGCACCATGATAATGGTTTGTGTCCAAAGCAAAGAACAAAGCACATATAGGCAGAAATAGTATGCAAATAGTCATAAAGTAGACAAGCGTCATCCATAAAAACAAACTGATGTTCCTCCAAAACATCAAAAACAAAAGAAAATACCCTGTTTTAAGTGTTTACAAACCAAAAGAAGCAAAATGAAACAAAGTGCAATCCAGACCAAGTTCAAAGATAAACAAAGACAGACAGACAGAAACAAAGTTAGGCTTCTAGGGCAGATGATGGATGCTCTTCTCCTGCATCTACTTCTTCAATGACCAGATCCTCCAGTTTCTTCAGAAGATCAGCTTGGCCTTGTAATATGGTCGAAGTGCTCTGCTGCATGATGGTGGTGAGTTCTTTGGAGGCATGCATCAGGTCTCCTACCACCTTCTCTAATGCTTCAATCCTCTGAACCAGACCAGGTTGAGCATCAACAAGCCTTTGCACTGTATCCTTGAGAGATCTCAATTGCAAAGTAGAGCTAATAGAGCCAAGACCAGTCAAACTCATTCCTTCACCAGCCTGAACTGTGGTTTCTCTAAATGTGCCCTGTTCCCCATGAACAAAAGTTTTCTCTTCTCCCAAACCCTTTTCTTCACACAAATCCACTATAGTAGTGGATTCTGCCTTGTCCTTCCCCTTTGGCCTAAAAGCTAACCTTGTACTCTTCCTCTTTCCAGCACTGGGAGTGCTCTTTGCAGGCACTAATAACACTTCTTTTTCTTTCTTTTCACCCTCTCCCTCACTTTCTTCTTCCTCCAACCATCTGTCCAACTCCTCTTCTTCTAATTTCTTCACACTGCTCTCATCTTGCTTAGGTTTAGGGAGAGATTTAGTGAGAAATTGGGTGACTCCATCAACAACAGTCAGGTTTCTGGCTTCAAGAGTTCTAGGTTGCACGTAGTGGTTTGTTTTAAGCTTGAGGCTTTCATAGTTAGTCATGGAGATACCACAACTTTCAAGAAGGGTAATTAGCAAATTTGCATATCCAACCTTCAAATGGTTGGCTAGGCAGTGACTGAGGTGTTGGATCATCAAGGAAGGAAAGTTTATTTGTATTTTGTTTTCAAGGCAGTACATAAGGACAACATCAAGATGATTTGCCTCATGTCTATGCTGGGTTCTAGGGACTATGGCCAAGTGAACAAAATTAAAGAGTAGCTTTTGTATAGGTGAAAACAGATTATGGTTGGTTCGAACTTTGGAAGCTTTACCCCCAATTGATTCAACAATTTTTTCAATAGGAACACCTTCAACCTTTAATTCAGTTTCTCCTTTAAAATACTCATCAAACCCCTCATTAGGAGTTCCAAACACGGCAGCTAAATCATCAACATCAAAACTAATTTTCTTGTTTTAACTCTACTTGTACACACACCATTCACATTCCTAAAATTTGCACAAAATTCTTTAAACGGAGCATGAGCAATCACATTGTCATAACATTCACTAAACAACTTAACCCAATTTTGAGCTTCAAGTATATCAAGAAGTTCAGAATACTTACACGACTCACACCACTTGAGGTTAATGCAGAAACCAGCGATGAAACGTTCAGAGCTTGCTTCAAGTCTCTTAACAGAAGGAGATTTCGATTTTTCCCCCTGAATCGGTTCACCAAGTTCCTCGTAGTCCAATTCTTCTTCAACTGCTAACTTCCTCTTTTTTGAATCACTCCAAGCCATAGGTTTGTTTTGAGGGTTTTCACTGGGGGCTTGAGTTGAGGTATCAGTCTCAATTTCCATGGGCGATTTTTT